ACCTGGGTTCTTTTCCTTGCTCTGCCACTGACCCACTGCGTAACCTTGGGCAAGTCACTTCCTCTCTCCGTTCATCTTTCTCCTTGCACCCTCAGTTTGTCTTGTCTATTATGATTGTGAAGAGCAGAGACTGCTGTCACTATGTGTCTGGGAGCACCTGGCACAATGGGGCCCTAATCTCAATTTGGGTCTGTGCAGTGCCTTCTACAATGGGGGCCCTGATCTCACTCGGGATCTGTGGAGTGTCTGGTACAATGGGGACCTGATCTCAGTCAGGGTCTGTGCAGCAGTTGGCACCATAGTGTGGTCTCTAGGTGCTAATTTCATAAATGGGATCTTTCTTGGGTTCAGGTTACCACACAAGTGCAGGATTTCTTGCAGCTGGGACTGAGCTAGCTGGATCTTTGATCTGATGTGGCAATTCCTAGTTCCTAGACGGGCAATTTTGGGTGGCTAGACTGAGATGCCTCATTGGGCCCTCACTTTTCAGATGGCACATCCTCAGCAATTGCAGAGAATCAGGCCCAGTTGCGATGTCCTAAGGTGGGCATCCCCTGAAGTGCCCAAAATCACTAGTAGAGCTGGTCAGGAAATTGTTTTCCTGTCATAGACTTTCAGGTCAGAAGGGACCATTATGATCATCTAGTCTGACCCCCTGCATGATGCAGGCCACAAAAGCTGACCCAACCCCTTTCCCTTGACTCTGCTGTTGAAGTCCCCAAATTCTGTGATTTAAAGACTTCAAGTTGCAGTGAACCCTCCAGCTAGCGACCCCCGCCCCATGCTGCGCAGGAAGGTGAAAAACCTCCAGGGCCTCTGCCAATCTACCCTGGAGGAAAATTCCTTCCCGACCCCAAATATGGCGATCAGTAGAACCCCGAGCATGTAGGCAAGATTCTCCAGCCAGACCCTCATTGGCCATTGATACTATTTACCAGCGATGGCACGCTGTTGATTTGACTAAAATCACGTTATCCCATTAAACCATTCCCTCCATAAACTTATCTAGCTTAATCTTAAAGCCAGACAGGTCCTTCGCCCTCACTGTTTCCCTCGGAAGGCTGTTCCAATATTTCACCCCTCTGACGGTTAGAAACCTTCGTCTAATTTCAAGCCTAAACTTCCCCACGGCCAGTTTATATCCATTCGTTCTTGTGTCCACATTAGTACTGAGCTGAAATAATTCCTCTCCCTCCCTGGTATTTATCCCTCTGATATATTTAAAGAGAGCAATCATATCCCCCCTGTCCCATGATACATTTTGAGATTTCAAACATTTTCCCCATTCTGAATCAGGACGAACTATTGAAATTTCAAACATTTTTGTGAATTCAACAGTATAAAAAAAATCTTGGTTTGGGTAACTCACATCATTTCATTTTGATTTCGACCATCATAAATTTGTACAAAAAGGGTTGTTGTTTTTTAATATACATTCCAAAACACAAAGTTGTTTCCAAACAGAAAAAACTGAAATTTTCGTTTTGGAAATGTAATTTCCAACCTCCCTCCCCCCCCATTTTTTCTAATCAACACTTTCCCGTGAAAAGCTTGGGCTTTGATGAAATAGTTTTTCTGTCAGAAAAATACATTTAGATGAAAAATTCCCGCCCAACTCTAATCACTTGTCACTTGGCTCTGGTCTTTTGCTGTTCCACGGGGCTGCATGTGAAGTTTGAGCCCCGTGAGTTTTTTCTACATACCTAATCACTGTGGGGTACAGCTCACTTGTGTAGAGGACGACACAGTTAAAGGAGGCAGCAAGACAGCCTTTTCAAATGACAGCCAGAACGGTACTCAGGATCTTCAGATCTTGGGAGAAGCACACAATTGAGGAGGGTTAAGCAGGTTGAAAAAGGCTGAAATGCTCAAGAAGGGTCAGGAGTCAATGGCATGTATCCCCAGCCACTGGTGCCAATGCGGCCAGATCCCCAGCTGATATAAATCAGCACAGCTGCACTGGAATCAATGGAGCTAAAGAAGAACAGGAGTACTTGTGGCACCTTAGAGACTAACAAATTTATTAGAGCATAAACTTTCGTGGACTATAGCCCACTTCTTCGGATGCATATAGAATGGAACATATATTGAGGAGATATATATATACACATACAGAGAGCATAAACAGGTGGGAGTTGTCTTACCAACTCTGATTAATTGGCCTCTCAGAGTTGGTAAGACAACTCCCACCTGTTTATGCTCTCTGTATGTGTG